CCTGTGGCGTTCGCTTGTTAGCGCGGAGCGTGTAGCTCCGAGGTCTCGAGCCACTGCTCGTGCCTCCTTTGATCAGCCCGTTGTCGGTTGGCACGTGCCTTCAGGCGGCGTGGCCCTGGCCACACACGCACACACACAGACACACACACACACACAACTTTCGATTCGTATGTAACACGAAACGCGCGACACCGTTTGGAGTTGCTTCACACCCCCAGGCAATTCGCACAAGGTTTGGAGACAATCGCAGTCATATGAGACAGTTACAGTTGCAGGCCGTCCCCGGAGATTGCTCATCGGAACAAGCTTTTTAAGACATCCGCGCCAGAGATCGGTTCCTCATTTGCTGCCTCGGGCCTCCCACCGCGTCGAGTCGGGCGTGCTCGGGAGATTGGCTGTCGCGCGGAGGACCTGCTGATCTTTGACCCCCTTTTTTCCTGGCCTCTCCCTCAACGGCGCCTGTGCCCCCGGCCGAGGAGCTCGCATCAGAAGCGCGCCGGTTGTTCCTCAGGCGCCCGGGAGCGGGGTGAAGTCGGGCCTGTCCTTGTCCAGGAGGAACATTCCAAAGCAGTCGAAAAATGGTCTGGGGACAATGATTGGATTCTGTGTGACTATTTCCGAGTATTTGTTTTGCATATGTTTCGATTTTCGCCCGAAATCCGCCTGTAGGAAGACATGCCCGACCTAAGAGTGGGGGCGCTGCCAGGAGCAGCGCAGCGGAGGGGACCAGCAGCAGGGGGGAGCGCTGTCGACAAGAGAGAAGGCGTTCGAGCGTCTGTGCGTGCAGGGAGGCTGGAGCGCGTTGGCCACCCTGTCGGTTGGGGGCCCTTCTTCCTCCGCCTCATCCATATCAGGAGGGGAACAAACACACAGACACAATTAATCGTCGATTCCCCAGAAAATATGGGAAAATATGGGAAGTGGGGGGGAAGACGAAAAGCCATAACATATGGGAAACTATGGGGAATATTTGTATTAGTGTGTATTGATTTGTGTGTTCCAGGGCCCCTTCACCATAGAAAAAGAAGAAGCGCCACAAACATAATTTTGTTTGGCGCTCGGCGCGGATTTCTTGGATCCGCGCTGGACCCCCCTCCCTGGAGCGCGGAGCGTCAAAAGTTTATGCTTATGGCGTTTTTTCTTCTTCTAATCCTCTCCAGTCTTCCTGATCTTCCTCCTCCCAGAAACAAGACGCTGAAGTAAAGGCCGCCTTGGGCTCACGAGGGACTCTGGTGTTCGGATTGCTCCTCAGATGTAGGCTTAAGTCGGGCCTGTCCCCCTGTAGGAGGAGTATTCAAAAATACGGAAAAATAGACTGTGGCCGATTTGTTTGACTATCTTCGAGTATTTAAATTTATGTTTTTGGACATTTGTTTAGCATTCGCCCAACATCCGCATGTAGGGGGACATGCCCGACTGAAGTGTAGGCCGGGAAGCGTATTCCTGACCGAGGCTCGCTAGCGGAAGTTTAAAGATTAGGCGAAAGTTTCCCGCCGATTTTGGTAGCAGGTTGGGTTTCCGGGTTCCCGGTTCCGGGTTCCCGGGTTCTTGGTTATTGGTTCCGATTTCAGGGGGTTTTGGGTTCCTGGGCTCCAGGGTTCCTGGTCGATCTCTCCAGCGAAAACCATCCACTGATTGGGTTTTTTCTCTGGTGTAATTGATACCCGTATCCGCTCCGTCTCGCATTTTTGGACCCCGTTTCCTGCAAGCCCGAGACGCCATGGACGTGGATGAGGATGCGGCCTCTGGCGAGGTCTGATGTCTATTCGTGTCTTCTGCGTCTCGGGTTTTCGACGTCCCTGTCCAAAGCAATGCAAGCCGCCGCGGGCATTGTCTGCGCGTCTTGCCCGCAGGGGCGCGCCGCAGCAGCGGTGGCGCGCGGCAGGATCGAGTTCTGTCTGTGGGCGGGCCCAGCGCGCCAGGGAACCTCGGAGCCAGGAGCCAGGCCGAGGCCGAAGGGGCCGGGAGCGAACCGTCCAAGGTGCCAAGAGCAGCCGAGAAGGAGGAGGACGAGGACGAGGACGAGGACGAGGACGAGGACGGAGGATGAGGAGGAGGAGGAGGAGGAGGAGGAGGAGGAGGAGGAGGACGACGAGTACGAGGACGAGGACGAGGACGATGACGAGGACGAGGACCCGAAAAAAAGTCAGACGAGGACGAGGACGGAGATGAGGAGGACGAGGACGGAGGATGAGTAGGAGGAGGGGATGAGGAGGAGGATGAAGGAGGACGACGAGGACAAGGCGAGGACGAGGACGAGGCGAGGACGAGGACTAGGACAGGACCGAGGAGAGACGGAGGATGAAAAAAAAAAGGAGGGACGAGGACGGAGGAGGAGGAGTAGAGGAGGAGGTGTGATTATGATGCTTAGGATTTATGATGAGGATTGATTCTCTGTCTTAGTTATTGTTGTGCGGGGGCTGGTGCGCGAGGTGGGGTGGTCGACCGGATGGAGGCTCGCAGGGCATTTTCGTTGTTCTTTGGAGGTGTCTGCTCTTCATGGGGCGCCCTCGCGGCCACGGCTGGATCCGCATCGGAATTCTGGCCAGAGCGCACCCCAGGAGAGGTCCAGGGATCGGTTGTTGACCCCTGACCAGGCTCAGGGGGGGAACGTTTCGGGATCGAGGTTCGAGGTCTCCCCGGCACTCTCGTAGGTTCTCGGCGGTGATCCAGCCTCGAGAAGCGTTCCAGCAGCTGCGTCTCGCCGAGAGCGTTGCGGGGGGGGGCCTGGAACGTCGCCAACGGCCTCCAGGGAGCCGAGTCTGATCCGCAGGCCAGGAGCGCCGACGGGGGGGGCATGAATGGGCCTGGGAGGGAGGAGCGTGCGAAACGGGTAGGGGGGGGGCGAGGGGGCGGACGCGGGCCGGGGAGCGCGCGGAGGGGGAGGGGGGCAGGGAGAGGGGGCGAGGGAAAATGGGCACGGCGAAGGAGCGGGCGGGGGGCAGGGGGAGAGGGTGGGGGGCAGGGGGTGGGGGGTAAGGGGTAGGGGTCAAGTTAGCCAGCTCGAACGAGCCAGAGGGCTCCGTCCACTCCCACCCGCCCTTTCACAACATAAGAAACAAGTGCGTCACGTCCGATGCCTGTCGCTCATCTTATATCGTGGGCGGCTAGACGTTCAGCGCGCGACATGAGCTGCGTCCTACTCCTGCCGCGCATTGAGCAACGTCGACAGAAACAAGATTGCGTACGATGTACGCCGCGCCCCGCTCCGGCCTCTCATGTTGCATCGTCGGCGACAGCATGTCCAGTGCGCGAAGTGCGCCGCGTCTCATTCCAGCCACGCGCATTGCACCGCCAATCGTTTCACCCCTGCCGCACATGGAGGAGGGGGAGGAGGAGGAGGATGAGGAGGAGGAGGCGGAGGAGGAGGAGGAGGAGGAGGGGATGGAGAAAGGGAGGGGGGGAGAAACTGAGGAGGAAGTGGAGAATGCCTCTTGGGAATTCGCGGGGCGTCCCATTCCCGCTACGCGATCCGCAGCGCCGACGAGGAGGAAGTACACGTTGGCAAGAAAAACATCGACGCCGCGGTGTTGTTTTAAGCAGGTAGGGCGGGGGGTCCCACGCAGGGATGGCCAGGCGTCCGCGCGGGATGTGCGCCGCGTCCCATTTCTGCTACACTGTTCGCAGCGTCGACGACAAGAAAGTCCATGCTGTCGAGAAAAACGTTGACATTATATTGTTCTTGTTGCTAGGTAGGGCGCGACACCCCCCCTAAGGGTTACCCAGGCGATGTTCATTCCGTCACATTCCTGCTACACTTGTCGCAACTCGACGACATGCTGGCGAGAAAAAATGTGGTTTGTGTTGTTTTTTTACAGTTAGGTTGGCGGGGTTGCTATCGGCCATAAGAAGTAAGGATAGGGGGGCACGGGGCAGGGGGGAGGGGGAACTGGGCGCGGGGGAAGAGGGGATGGGGAAACAGGCCGGAAGAAGCTGGCAGGTGCCGCCGCAGCTGCAGCAGGGCCGTTGACCCTGGTGCCGCTGATCTTGTTTCCTCTTTTCTTCAAGTTTGTTTTTTGTTCCCCTTCTTCTCGCCTGCAGTGCGCCACGTCCCCTGAGATCCGACGACGCAAAGAAGAATGTACCGGTTCAATGCTCGAATCCCCCCCTGCGTTTTAAAAGGATTTTGTTTTGTGGGAGGCGGACCGCGTCGTCAGTTTGTTTTGGCATCGGCGCGGTATGCCCGCTGTGTTTTTCCTCGGCGCTGCCTCCCCTCTCCTCTCCTCTCTCTCTTTCTTTCTC